CCAAACTGAAAGCCAGTGTCCTTTGCCCCTTACACTCCACCAGGAGAAGCTGTTGTTCCTGCTTTGCAGAAGCATGGGTTGAGGCACTGAAAGGTCAAGGGACTTGCCACAGCTACACAGTGTTAAGTGTGGTCTTCTCCAGAGGCCAGAGCAGCTGGGTGGGATGATGCTGGCATTCCACCATTCTGGTAGGGATCTAGGAGGCTAGAATGCCAGGTAATAGTGTTACTGTCTGCTGGTTCACCGGTCTTTGTGGTACCACCTGTCGCCTCTGTACCCCATCTCATCTGGGTGTAGAACAGCTGTTACGGCTGCTGCCTGGCAGTGGGATTCTTTGTGTGGTGGGGGGCCTCCTTCAGCCTGGGCCCTCATCACAAAACTCTCCATGGGGTAAGGCCCATGGGGTTTCCCAGGATAGTTAAGTTCATCTGGACTGGGTAAAGCTCCCCACACATTCCCCAACATCACACACAGGTCATTCCGAAGCTTCAGGGTTTGGCCTGGTCCTAGGATACTGGAATCTACCTACCCTGAGACAAGCCAGCCTTATTGTGCCTTCCATCTGCCCCTGTTCATTTCCATTGTCCCTCCTGGCTGAGATGTGGCTAGGAGTGTCCACCCGGATCCTGTACCCTTGTTACCCTGGTAGTATGAAAAGCACTGACTTACTTCTCTCTCTCTCCCTCTCTCTCTCTGACCCACAGTGCGACAGTGAGAGTGGCGTGGATGACAAGGTGAGCCTGGCTTCTCCTTCCTTCCTTGTAGACCTGGGATACCCACTCCATGCCTCACTGGAGCAGGGCAGGCCCTGCTAGGAAATTCTCTCTCATTAGATAAGCAGCGTAGGAAGCTTCTCCCTGGCTGGGTGTGCCTGCCATGATAGTGGCTTAGGCATCCCAACGGTAGACCTCAGATAGGCAGCCAGTGTTGAAACACTGATGGAGGTCACCCTAGGCCCTGGCTGGCCTCAAGGAGGATAGCAGGTCTTTTGCTGAGCAGCTGCAGGCGCTTCCAGGGAGGTCAGGTGGGGGCTGTTGGTCATTATTGCTTTCTACCGTTGAAAACCAGATATGCCCATTAATCCAGGCTTTGTGCTGCTTAGTGCTTAGTATTGGAGAACTTGCTACCACCACAACTTCTCAGGGTCCTCCTGGGTTCTTGAGCCCTCCAGGTAGCACTTTATCACAGATGGTTGAGGACTCTAAGGACAGGAAGAAAGGGACTTAGTAGAGGTCACACTTCTCAAATGGGTTGGGGCAGCCAGGTGCAGGGTCCCATCTTACTGGCGTTGACCTCTGAGCAAATAAAGGCATAACCGAGAAGACTGGGGTGCAGGTAGCTGGGGTTGGATATGGCAATCCCAAAAGTGGAAGAGAGGACACTGAGGGAGAAGGTGTATCCCAGATACAGGGCATGGTGGGGGTGGGTGGCAGCATAGACTTTGGTTTCAGGCAAGTTGTTGTGAAAAGGGTTTGTATGTGTGGATCTTGAGGGTGCCTTAAGGGTGTTTAGTGTCTGCTCATGCTTACTTAGAGTGCAGGGCTCCATGGAGTCATGTCTGGCCTCTCGGTCTTGGGTGGGTTCAACTCAGCTGGTCTCAGATTGTCGAAGGTGCATTAACAGGACCCTGGGCCAGGGCATTCTGGCTCTGGTGGTTCCATGCCTGTACCATCCGGTCTCAAGCCCCTGTGCTGCCTCCACTGTGTCCCCCTGCAGCACAGGCTCTCTTTACCGGTCCCCGGAACAGAATACGTCTGGGAAAAAAGACCCTGGAGATGAGTATGTGCAGAATGAGCCACTGGGGTTCAGGGTGGGAGACCCGTGGGAAAGAGGGAGTTGTGCCCCTCCCTCCCTCCCTGTCTGGAGCTGCTGCCTCCTTGACTGACAGAGGCCTTATACAGACGTAATGTTTAAACAAGCACCTGGGAAAGTGCTGAGCCTGCAGGTCCCTTGGTATATAACTTTAGGAAGAAGTCTCTCTGTAGCCCAGAGCTGCTCAGAGCATATGGGATGGGAGGGAGACAGGAGGGAGTTTCAAGCTCCTGTTCCTTCATCCTATCTTCTAGAGGAAACAGATGTATCACCCCCTTGAGGACAGGTGGCCAGAAGGGCTATCTGGTCTCTATCATTTCCCCTAACTACACTCAGCAGCCAGAGTTGACCCTGAGCCTCCAGGATGCCTGGTGTGCTATCCAGTGTTGTGCCCCAAGACTATATACCCAGGCCAGGTTCCCTACTGAGAAGCAGGCACTAAGTCACTGCCCTGTTTCTGAGGTAGTGATGTCCCTATCTTTTCAACACAGCAAGAACTTGGGAGGGAGAAGGGCCCTTCAGTAGCCCATATTCACAGGGGATCCTGGAACCTGTACTTGAGTTTTCACAGCACTGTCTCACATTCCCTGATACACGTGGCCTGGAAGCAGTGAACAGGGTCACTGACAAGTGGCTAGACCCTCAGAATGGCAGAGGCAGACAGCTCTGTGAATTTGAGCCCATCCTGGTCTGGTCTACATAGTGTGTTCCAGGACAGCCAGTGCCATAGAGAGACCCTGGAGTGGGGGAGGGCACAATATGTTCATTGTGTAGGAGCCTTGGCACTGACTCCGATAGGCTTAGCCTGGTAGTCACAGGAAGGGGAGACTGGACAGTTCACCTAGATAGGGCAGTGCTTCTGCGTTCTGAGCATCTTTCTTCCAAAGCCGACAGAATCTGAGCTTAATACTCTACATCCCTCCCCCAGGGACAAGCCTGGAGCTCTGCTGGAGGTCACAATGCAGACACTCTGGGCAGATTCTTTCAAGTAGCCTTTTTACTGGTCTCCCAAAGCTCAGCAGCCCACTGGCTCTACTGGCCCTTCACAGGCCGGCTATGCACCTCCACAAACCAGGGCTACACTCTTCCCACGGCAGCGGCAGTATAGGAAGTGTTAGATGCAGACTCAGGAGTGAGCAGACAGGTGACTCCTCCTCAGGGCTGTGGCTGGAGTCTAACTGCTTTTTTTTTTTTTTTTTTTTAATTTGGGTGGAAAATTGTGCAGGGGCTCATTAGGCAGCTCATTAAGGCCCAGCTGGCTGCTAGCTCTGCCCAAGTGGCCCTAGCTGCCAGCAATCTGGCCAGGACTCCTCCCTGCTATGTGTGGCCTCAGCCCTGTGGCTAGCCAGCCTTTTGGAGTAGTCTGCATCCCATCTGTGGATGTCGTCTAGGAGATGCTCCAAACAATCTGGCCACCAAGAAGGCCCTTTCAGGGGTGAATAGACCCCACCCACATGGATCATCTTGGGAGGGAAAGAAAGCACAGGTTGGTTAGGCACCATAGTGGAGACTGGTTCCCTCCCAGGGTGACGTTCCATCTAAAGTGACTTCAAGGGTATGATATGACTGAAGCCTGCTGACTTCCTGCTACAATGTGTATGTCTTAGTATATAATAAAATATTATTTAGCTTAGAGGTTACAGTCCATCTGTTATCATAGGAAGCTGAGGCAGGAACTCAGGGTAGCAATCTAGGAGCAGAAACTGAAGCAGAGACCACGGAGAAGGGCTATTCACTGGCTTCTTCCCCATGGTTTGCTCTGCCTGCTTTCTAACACAACTCTGTACCATTTTCCTAGGGGTGGCACTGCCCACACTGGGCTGGGCCCTCCCACATCAATCATTAATCAAGAAAATGTCCCACAGGCCAATTTGATGGAAGCCTTTTCTCAATTGAGGTTTCGTCTTCTCAGACAACCCTGGCTTGTATCAAGCTGGCAAAAAACCCAACCAGCAGAGTGTACTTTGGGCTTTGGTGGTGGGTCCCTGACTTGGGCATCTCTGGGTTCCAGCTGCCTGGCACCCTGTTCACTCTGCATGGCCACCTATTGTTGGACTTAGTATCCAGGAGTCCCACTAGGCAGGGGCAGGGGTCCAAGAGTGCAGAGGCATCTACCACTGTGTGGCAGGTACTTCCTGGGCCCCCAGACAACCCCAAGGTATCTCCTAATTGCCAGCTTTGTTAACAGGCAAGGCCTCTGAGGGTCAGAAACTTCCTGTTGTGAGTGGGGGCCCAGTGAGGAAGATGATTAACAGAGTAGTGTGGGACTGCATGACTGGTCTAAATGCTGACCCCGTGCTGAGCACTGAAGTCAGCAGCTGATGCTCTCCCCACACTGGAACCCAGCAGCCCAAAGTCAGGCTTGTCCATCTGTAGGCATTGAGCTTATTTAACCTCTGCCTTGCCCAGCTCCTGGCAGCTTCAGGATATCTCTGAGATGTGGCTGCCTCCCCTGTGTCTCCGCTACAGTAATAATCAAAGCATGGCCTGCAGGCCACAGGCTGAGTGGTGTTAGGACCTCTCGTTAGTGGACAATTTTAGGCAGCACTTTTTGGCTCTCGACATGCTTAACCCCACTGTCCTGATGTCTTATCCAACTGGCTCAGCTATTCATGTCAGATCTACAGCATCTCCCCAGATCCCAATATCAGCACACTTGCCCATGTCTCTACTAGAGGATGCCACGGTCACATAGCCACACCTCATGGTTCTTTGCCCTGTGGCCTCAGGCTCAGCTGGTGGCTTGTCTCCAGAGTAACAGCCAAAAGGGAGCAGCTCATGCTTGGTGTGCAAGTCTAGGACAGTGCTAGACCCTCAAGGAGGCCCAGTTACTAGCTGTAGTCAAGTGGAGGTTACGGCATCCCAGAACTGTCAAGAGTGGCATAACCAAATGACCCTAGATACTTCCAGCAGTCCCAGTTCTAGGTGGATCCCCTCAGTGACAACATCTTTCCCCTAGAGACATAGAATGATGATGGATGAAGTTATAATACAAATTGTTGAACCATGGGTTTTAGATAAATGTGCCCCAATACCACCATTAAGCCCCAGTGAGTTATAGATATTTGGTTGGGAAGCCTGATGTTTGATATCAGTGTTGTCTCTGGTGGCTGCCTTTATTTCCCATGATAATCTATTCCCACGCCTTCCTTCTCAATTTCTAACCTCATTAAACCTCTCATATCACAACTGCTTTCCTTCCTAAATAAAATTAGACAGGCCTGCCCCAGGTTCTGTAAGTCTAATTTTACTTCTAGACCAGGGTGGGAGGCTGTAGGCAGGCTCCAGTACTGGCTCCTGGCTGTGAATTTTAAGCCCATTGGTTGGATTAGTCCTTCTTCAAGAGCTCTTTTGCCCAAGGTAGTCTCAGGAATGACAAGAAATGACAATCACGATTGCTACAGGATAATAACTTCCCTGTAGTTTGGATGTGTGAGTAGGCAAGGCCCCTGGAAGGGAACCTCAGGTCAGGGGTCTTGCCTTCCCGTAGACCTCAAGTTTCTCTAGCAGCCATCACTCATTTCCTGGCCTATGCTCTCCCACTCCATTGGCTCCTGGGCCCCAATTACTGCCACATTACTTCTCTCTGGCCTCCACCTGAGGGGTGAGCTATGTCATTGTCATATCTCTGGGCCTTTCTGCCTGTGGCTCTCTTCCATAGAAGGAACCAGGACAGTAAACCTTTCTAGGCTAAGTGTATACCACACAGACCACTCTACCACAAACCTAGTTGAAAACTAAGGCAAAGCAACTCTCATGGCATTGGTGCTTAGAAGAAACTACGCCAGGGATTTGGTGGATGGCACAGTCCAGTGCTGGTCTCCCCTGGACACTGGAGGGCCAGCTGTGGCCCAGAGTCCAAAGGGCCAGCCAGCCAGCCAAGTCAGCTACTCAGTATAGAGTGAAGTCCCAGAAGCAGGTC